TTCTACAATTTACTTAATGTGCAAAATATTCATATTTTTAAATACTGATGTTAAATGCTTTTACAACAGTATTGGAAATACATAAAAATAAATTCAGTTCAAGATAATGCTAATTTTTAAGAATATGCTTGTACATGGATCCATACACTATGTTTAAAAATGGTTTCGTAAGTTTTTATGTTTAAAATGAATCTTGATTTCTCGCATAACCAACATCCGCCAGCAGTATTCACAGTAACATCAACTATTTTCATTTGAGTGATTAGGCACCTTCCATATTGTTATTCTTCTTTTCGTGTTACTCATTTCATCACTGTAGCTTGGTATTTTGCCCCTCAGATGCGGGAAAAAAAATTGCCCCACTTTCCTCTGGAGGTACCATTTTCTGCTCTTACAGCTCATTCTTATCTCTTTTCCCTCTTTTTTCTCCACCTAAATCTGAACTCCATCTTTTTTATTTTCCTTCATTTCTTCTGAAAATTGCTTTTACTGACTTGCCCTTTACTTATTGTTCTAGGTGGCTTTCCATATCCATGTAAGTAGATATCATTAGGTCTAGGGCTGCTTTGTCCAAAATGATGTCAATTAGCTACATGTGACTATTTACATTTAAATTAATTACAACTAAAGAAAATTAAAAATTCTCTTCCTTAATTGTATTAGCCACATTTTCAAGTGCTCAACAGTCACATGTAGCTACAGGTACTACAACGGACAGCACAGAAAGTTGTATAGGACTGTGCCACTCTAGAGTAGGGCATTCTCAATTCTGGAATATGGCTTATGGCTGCCCTCTTTTTATAATGCAAGGCTCAGGGGAGTTTATAACACTATATTATTGCTGTCCCAAGCAGAAGATAGATCCCTTACTCCAGTAAGAAGTGTTTCACACCGTGGTCCTCAATGCTGAAAACACTGTTCTTAAAAACTTATACTTGAAAACATCCTGTATTATGCCTACAGCATGGCTTAGGCAGTTCCCAATAGTAGTAGAAACCTTTGTCTTGCCCTAAATGAAGAAGACCCACAGGTGACTACTAATGTTCTCTTGCTGGGTTTAGTCTCACAAATAACAACCAATCCAAACTCAAACAGTTTTGTTCTTTATCAGTACAGCTCTAACACCAAAAGCACCTGTAGCATGAAAGTCAAATTTTACTACAGGCAGAAAAAAACTCCTAAAATTCTGAGGATCGATACATATAAAATCAATACACAAAAGGTGTTGAATATATGCAGAAAATAGCATGATAAAATGGTTTTTAGGCCAGGAGGAAGAAAGAATTTGTAAGATAAGAAACACTAACAGGAATGGTCATTATATAAATAGTTGGGAGTGGCTTCCCAGTACCATCTGAAATGACGGTGTGGGGCACAGGGGGTAGCCCTCCTGCCCTTCTATTTCCTCTTTTGTGGAGGGAAATATCAGGGGCTTTTTAAAATATATATATATATATAACCTAATGACATCAAATACTTGAATCATACAACCTAACATCATGGCCACCAAGCCACTTTCTGATCATACTTTGTTGGTGGTAGTATAAGCCTGTATAAACCTTTCAGAAAAAAAAAAAAAAAAAACTGTAGTAATTTATTTCAAGAACCTTACGAAGACCATCCAGTAAAGGAATTAACTCCTTAACTTGATTAAAGGTAATGCATTCTTCATTTTGGTTTAGCAAAAAATCAAACCAAATAATAATAGCAACCATCATTACCACTACCTATGTAGGTTAAAATGCCACATATACAATAAATTCCATCTAAATAGATATGACAGATGGCACATACACATATACACACATCACCAAAAAAGGTTGGAAGACCATATATGAAATGTTAACAATGACTGTCATTGGCTTGTATGATTTAAGTACGTTAAATTTTTCTTAAGTTGTTTTGCTTCTCTATTTTCTATATTTCCTATAGAATAAATATATTGTTATCTCTCAATAAAAATAGACAGGAAAGGAAAAATCCACTTTAGAGTACTTCTCTTTTAAACATATATTTTTTGGCCTCATGTTATTCATAAACTATCCTTAGTATTCTATTTTTTCATTCTTTTAGTGAGAGGTATTGAATTTTATTATTTCTATTGAGAAAATGACTTATGTAATTTAATATGTCAAAAGATTTCTTCATACTCACATTAGATTGAATCTAACTTGGTTGTAGAGGAGTTTTCTTTTACACTGTTACTGAAACTATGCCTTTTCAACCAAAAATCCTTTTTTCTCAGTAACTTAAAATACAAGTATGTATGTGGTCAGGCATGGTGGCTCATGTCTGTAATCCCAGCATTTGGGGAGGCTGAGGCAAAATGATCACTTGAGCCCAGGAGTGTGAGACCCCTGTCTCTACAAAAAATCAAAAAATTAGCCAGGCATGGTGGTACACACCTGTGGTCCCAGCTACTTGGAAGGCTGAGGCAGGAGGATCACTTGAGCCCAGGAGGTCAAGGCTACAGTGGACCATAACCGCACCATTGCACTCTAGCCTGGGTGACAGGGCAAGATCCTGTCTCACAATAAATTAAATAATTTTTAAAATACAAGTATGTTTTTATGGATTATCACAGTGTACTGCTAAGTCTTCTACGATGCAGTATAAACCTGAGCACCTGTTTTTTTCCTCTCAGGGAAGTAAGTCCTTATTATGATCTCTCACTAAGATTAAGCCTCTGTCCTCCCTTCCCAGAGCTATGATTCTTTTCTCTTCTCTATTCCTTCTAGCCCACTCACCCCCTGCAACCATTCAAAAGAAAAGCAACTAAAATAAGACCGCTGTATACAAGTTGTATAAACACTTGCTCAAGTCACTTCTGCATCTTAGCTTCTTTACATGCAGAAAAAGAGTGTGCTTACTATCATTTAAGCATACCAGAGGTTTCTACAAGCATCTTGAGGGATGGAACTGTATCTCCTTTATATTTACACATCCAAATTAATACAGTGCCTGGCCTGAAGTAGGCACATAAATATCTGCTGAATGAGTAAATGCGTATCTGCTTTTCCTCCTTTCCCCTGTTCTACTATTATATTTCTTCTTCTTATTTCCTGTTGATTCTCTACTTCAGAGATCTTATTTGCAGCCATTAAGTGATATCAAAATCCCCTTGGAAAAATCTCAATACATTCAAATTTTTGCTCTGCTGCTGTTGGCAGCAAACCACTCTCCTTCAAAGGCTCTTCAATGTGCTTTTGGAGAAAAGAACCTAGAACTAGCAGTCAAGAGTCTTAAGTTGTAGTACTAGCTCAGCCACTTTTTAATTATGGAAACTTTGCTACACCAGTTTATCTCCCTAGCTTTTGTTACCTTAGCTACAAAACAAAGGTATTTGGCCAGATGATTCCTATAGTAACAGATAACAGGGAAAGCTGAAGTCTTAGTTTGTTAGGTGTGCTAGGCTGAAAAATTGATCTTCACTTGACCTAAGATCATAGTAAAACTAACTCAAGAATACATTCCAGAACGAGTTACTTTTGTCTGATGAGGAGGAAGACTAACATCCAGTTTCCAGAACAGTGAGGTTGAGGGAGCCAGAGGTGGTATAAAGATTTCCATGAGGATGGCAAAATGGAACTTATCATGCTTAATAGAATCACCAATCTTCTTAGTAGCACAGTTAGAAGACATAACATCCCTATGGGTTAAATGGAGACACCTGGAAAGCCCGAACTTCCATCTAGAAGCAAGGGGCATGGTCTTCTATTAAACAACTGTCTGCAAACAGATGAGCTTCCACTGCCTTTGACATTAAAAAATATTACATCATCTTTGTCTGTTGGTGTCTTTTGCTTTCCATGATTCAAACACAACCTTCATTTTCTTCACCAAGCTCCTTGATTCTTTCAACTAGATTTCCCACATCCTTTGAACCTTATAGACTTACACAGCACTTTACCTACATCAATGTATTCCCAATTTCTTTAAGAAGTACTTATAAACGGAGGAATCCTTCTTTGTCTGTGTATTTCCTTCCCTAATTCCCCACTTCTAGTTCGAAACCCAAATATCTGGGATGAGAGAGGATCATCAAACTTTTGTTGAATAGATTAACTCCTACAATCGTATCTTATAAGAGCACACAAAAAAAATACTTGTTACATGAAAAGAAACAAAACTCTTTTATAAACTTTAAAGGCTTATGGCTAAGCTTTACAAACTAAATTGCTGATTATATTAGCCATTACATTTCTCTGTTCCTTTGTGTTACTAGAATTCCACTCCTAAATATAAGGCAAAAGAAGAATCAAGGCTGACTTATTAGGCAATCTCTTAATAAGAAATGTCTATTACCTGGCCCCAAACAATAGGAGAATGACTAACGTCCATATGATAATTCTCTGGCTCACGCATATCCTGAACTGAGTTCTCAAGAACTCAAATTAAATGATAGAGTATTTTTAGCACTAAACATGTTTTGAGATACAACATTTTTGAAAAACAAATAAGCACGGAACACACAGGTACTTTCTATTTAAAGTAAACCATTCCCTAGTTCTGCCTAAAACAAAACTTTTATTGTCTGTATCTTTGTGCATTTATATTTCCTAACACCCTCGACATCTGAGTAATTATAATAAACACATTTAAAAAGTTTTAACAAAAAAGGAATATGCTACATCATATATTTTCTAAGTGTCATATGCTGCTAAAGTAGGATGGCTGCATACAGGACTGCTGCTTCCTTTAAGGCATGTGGAACTACTCTCATAAATACATGCAATAAAAGGAGAGTAGACACACAAATAAAATGAACCATAGTGTGCAGAATGAAAAAGCTATTAAATGCACATTCACTTACATAAGACACACAAGAGAAGCTTTAGGAAAGCACATAAACACCTGGAGACAAGCAAAAATAAATTACCTACAACAAAATTAACAGCCATGACAGATTCAAAATTATTAGAGATTGCTGTAAAAAGAGTGAAATAAAACCTCAAAATAGCAAATGACCGGAGAGGAGGCTAAGAGCACATGTTACTTACAGGAATTCGTCTCCAGGGTGTTTGGGTATATTTATCAGCATAAGTGCATTTTTCCTCTTTACATTTTTGGTGGCAGATATGCTGAGTTGCCTAAACAAAAACACAAATTTTTACATTGGTTTAATTCTGCATATACACACCAAGACACACAAGAGAAGCTTTAGGAAAACACATAAACACCTAAGAGACAAGCAAAAATAAATTACCTAAAAAAAAAGTAACAGCTATGACAGGAAGTAATCAGGGCTCTTTTAGGGGGTATGCAACCAAATCAACAAAAAAGTCCCACATGGCAAAATAGTTCTGGCTACTTTTTTTGAAAAAAAAAAGTTATCAACAGCAAACATTAAGGTCTATTAAGTGGTCTCTCATCTTATTCAGGGAGTGGGTTTGAGAGTCAGCCTCAATTCTAACCTTATAAGGTTAGAATTTTGAATAATCTAAATTACCCTTGGCAATCTCTTATATTGTCCATAAAACATATAATATATGATTTTATGTAAATCAATATATAGAGTTAAGTAAATGGATGTAGAACATATAGGAATATTCAGTATATAAAGAATACAACTGCAGAATTTACAGTATTTCCCTAAACTGTCATGGTACTACAGTCACTAAAGCTCAGTTTCTTAAATGCATTTTTTATGGGACTCTGCTGGACACTGAATACCACCAGTCCACTTGTCAGGATGTCTGTTCTCATGTGCCGTCTGATGAAGCCTCTTTCATGATGTGTTGACTTTACTAGACTGAAATATTTTGAAGAGTGTCAGCCCTTTGACAAGATCCATCTGACCATTTCTGTTCACAAATGATTTCTCCACACAATTCCACTCAAAGCACACTCATTTACATAACACAAAGTAACTTTCTCAAATAATCACCACTTTCAAAAAACATCATTAAAATATTGATAAAGAGAATTCTCCTGGCCAGGCGCAGTGGCTCACACCTGTAATTCCAGCACTTTGGGAGGTGGAGGCAGGTGGATCACGAGGTCAGGAGATCGAGACTATCCTGGCTAACATGGTGAAACCCCGTCTCCACTAAAAATACAAAAAATTTGCTGAGCATGGTGGCGGGTGCCTGTAGTCCTAGCTACTTGGGAGGCTGAGGCAGGAGAATGGCATGAATCTGGAAGCGGAGCGCGCAGTGAGCCGAGATCGCACCACTGCACTCCAGCCTGGGCAACAGAGTGAGACACCATCTCAAAAAAAAAAAAAAAAAGAGAATTCTCCCTTAGTGAAAATCTAGAAAATAACCACATTATTTGTTAAACAACCTCTCTGGAGGTAGACATACTTTCTCATAGGAAACTAAAAAATTCTTGATTATTGCATCAGGTTAAAATGAGACATTTCTACTTTAAAAATATTTACCCATATTCAAAATTTTTCTTAACTGCAAGCAGATCATTCCAATTTCCTCATACAAAATAAAATCTAAAAACAAAAATGTCTATCATAGAGACATATTTTCCATTCCTATGAGACAGTCACTGAAACAAAATTCAATATAGGCCGGGTACAGTAGCTCACACCTGTACTCCCAGTACTTTGGGAGGCTGTGGCTGGCGGACTGCTTGGGCCCAGGAGTTCCAGACCAGCCAGGGCAACATGGTAAAACCCTGTATCTACAAAAAACACACAACAAAAACAGTCAGGCATGGTAGCATGTGCCTGTAGTCCCAACTACCTAGGAGGTTGAGGGAAGGATCACCTGAGCTCAGGAGGTCGAGGCCACAGTGTGCTGAGACTGCATCACCACACTCCATCTTGGGTGACAGAGTGAGATGCTAACTCCAAAATAACCCCCTAAATTCAATATATAATTGAGTCAACTTACAGTCTCTTGGAATTCACTGTAATAGGATCAACTTTTAACACATATGAGGGGTATATGATGAACAGAAAGGTAACTTAAAAACACTATTGAAATGAAAGCACTTTACTTATTCCATCCTATTGCAATTCCAGAAATTCAGGTGCTCCTTGATTTATGATAGGGTCACACCTGGATAAACACAAATATTGCTAAAAACGCACTTTTGACTTGGGATTATTTTCAACCTATGATGGGTTTATCAGGACATAATTCTGTCATAAGTTGAGGAGCTTACTGAATATCACTTTTGTACCATCATATAATCAAAAACTCCTAAGTAGTGGACTGTCTATAATTTAGTTTCTGTTCTATATGCTAACACATGGAAAATAATATTTGGCAAATATAAGAGTTTTCCATAATTTGGAAAGTCTAGTTTCTAGTGGCACGTCAACATATATAAAATGACTTAACAAATCATTTTCTCACCATCTGCCTTCTTTATTGCTGAGAGACCGTACAGATGCTCACCTTCTATTTGGTCGCATATTTGGGGAAATGTGTCCTAATCTCTTACCCCAAGGAGCTAGATCTTAATTAGTCTGAACCAATGTGATTAATCCCATTCTTCTATGCTTAGGAAGGGACAAGTAACTCAAATCTAGCCAATCAAATAGGAAAGTCTAGGGTATCTGAGAAAGGGTTTGTTGATTTTAAAAACAGACACTGGAGATAATAGGCCCTTAACCTATCCTTGGGTATTACTGCGTGAGAATGTGACACACAGAGCAACAGACATCTTGTGACCATGAATGGACAGCCAAGAGGATTCCAAAAAAATCCATCTGGAACCTAATCAATCATTAGCCAAATGACCAATAAGAAACCACGGAAATGGATGGGACCTATATAATTTCTTGTTGAGTTTACAACTGTTTTTATTTTTAAAATTACTTTTAGTTAGGGACTTTTACTTGGAACTTAAAACATCATAAGGTATGCACTGATTTACACTGAATGATTTAGGGCTTATATAAGAGTTGCTATTCATCATGTATCCACGGACCAGGCATTAGGTAGTTTACATATGTAGTTCTATCACAACGTAACTATCATAACCCTATATGGTCAGTACTACTTTTTTTTTTGAGATAGAGTCCTGCTCCACTGCCCAGGCTGGAGTGCAGTGGCATGCGATCTTGGCTCACTGCAACCTCGGCCTCATGGGTTCAAATAATTCTCCTGTCTCAGCCTCCCGAGTAGCTGGGACTACAGGTGTACGCCACCATGCCCAGCTAATTTTTATATTTTTAGTAGAGACAGGGTTTCACCATGTTGGTCAGGCTGGTCTCGAACTCCTGACCTCAGGTGATCTGCCTGCCTTTGCCTCCCAAAGCACTGGGATTATAGGTATGAGCCACTGTGCCCGGCCCAGTACTACTTTTATTATCCTCATTTACAGAAGGGGCCTAGGAGAGATTATAGAACTCCCTTCAGAGAACGTGGCTATTAAGTTTCAAAGTCAGGATCTGAACTCAGGTCTGTCTTGGCATTTCAAATATACTATGCTGCTAGCCCACTTAACGTGAGTGCCACTGTCTACGTGTCTCCATAAAGGAAACTCTACACTAGCAATTTCCCAAGATTATTCTGAAGAGTCAATGAGAAATGTATCTGTACTATTATTTAACTATGATATTGCAGTAAAGATAAACAGGCATTCTTAGAATTTTTAAATAAGGTTTGAATAGTTTAACTTCTATGCCTTTCAGTTAATTCTCAAAGCAGTGCAATCTGATTTTAAATCAGCATATTTTGAATACAACACTTTATAATGTCAATGTATTTTTATGAAGGTTTGCATGTAAACATAGGTTGGAGTTGAATGTATATTTTTTTAAAAGATAAAAAAGCATAGAAGGCTATAACTGAAAGGGAACTTGGAAATCACCTAGACAAACCTTCATATTTTGGATAAAGAAAGTACTAGAGAGAGGTGATGGAAACTGTCAGTGCCATTACCTAATTAATATTAGAAACAAGTCCTTTAACTCCTAGTCTATGATTCTTCTGATTTTTATTCTTATATTAAGAATAGAAATGTAAAAAAAATTAAAAATTTTTAAAATAGGTGATTTTAATTTGATAATGTGAAAAATGCTGTTACTTATCTTTGTTTTCAAATGGTTTGTATCTGTTAAAACTCTCTTGGTTTGAACAAGTGACTTTCTCAAGTTCTATAACTAAACTTGATACTATTAAAATCTTTGAGTAATTTCAATTTTCTACTATAAGAAGGATACTTGGCCACCTAAAACTAAGGCATTCACTTTACAGAGATCACTGCTTGCAGTGAGAAGCAGTGTATCTTTTCTAATCCTCTAAATTTATGTTCAGAAAACCACACTAACATTAGTCTTTACATGAACTGTAAAGAAAATATCAGAGTTCTCCTGGTACGGGGCCACAGCTCCTCTGCAATTTGTAAACACACTAATGAGATTCTAATGTGTTTACAGAGGGAATTTCTAGCTGAATACACCACAGCTTCCCAAGCAATCCATGGGAAAACTATGCACACCACCTAGAAAAACAGGTGGCAGGCTCTTTTATGATAAATATGATTTCTAGGTTGAATATATTGTGTACAGAGAATTTCAAGGTACCTACTGATAAAGATTAATGCTTTCACTTTTCTTTCTTTAGGATGCTCTTCAATATTTCTTGAATCTTTCTAAAAATTATTTTCAAGGTGAGATACTGTTCAGGACAACTGGTGCAGTCTCTTCAACAAATCAACACACACACACACACACACACACACACACAAAAGAATGGTTCTAAATTAAAAGAGACTTAAGGGATATAACCGGTTGTGCATAGTCCTAGACTGAATTTTAGTTTAGGGACATCAAAGTACAGGATGTTTTTGGAACAACTGAGAAAATCTTAGTATGGACTAGATATTAGAAGATGTTAAGGAATTACTATTAATTGCTTAGAGACGGTAATATAATTTGAGCTATGAAGAGACCTGTTCTTATTTTTTTAAAGATACAATCTGAGGTTAAAAGAAAGAATATGTTATCAAAACTTCACGGCATAAAAAGATTCATCTTTCATTATTTATCATATGTCCATATAAAGTGACCTTTTTCACAAATCTTCGTCTTAAATTTACTTTTCTAATTTTACTACTGCAATCCTAATATTTTTGAAGAGAATAATTTTATTCTGTCTCCCCCAATCTTTTATTTTACTTTTTAGACAGAGTCTCACTCTGTCACCCAGGCTGAAGTGCAGTGGCATGCTCTTGGCTCACTGCAACCTCTGCCTCCTGGGTTCAAGTGATTCTTCTGCCTCAGCCTCCCAAGTAGCTGGGGACTACAGGCGTGAACCACCACACTCAGCTAATTTTTTTTTTATTTTTAGTAGAGACAGGGTTTCACCATGTTGGCCAAGCTGGTCTCGAACTTCTGACCTCAAGCAATCCACCCACTTAGGGCTCCCAAAGTGCTGGGATTACAGGAGTGAGCTACCATGTCCAGCCTCCCCTAGTCTTTTATGTTCAGCCTTATTGTGCCATTTTCCTTTAGCTAAATTTATTTTATACAAAGCAAGTTACTGGATTTTGCTTTAGATCCTCAAGGGAAGTCTCTCCAAGATACAAGACTATTTGCAATTACTATTATATTTGTTATATTTGGTCTAATTTCTTTTACTTTAGTTTTGTGCTGTTTTTAAGTTTTCCTTATTTTTCTACTTTGTCTTTTTTTTTAATTTTAACTTTTGCAAGATACTTTACTCCAACTTACTAATAGTTACTTTAAAGCATGTCATAAACATTATTATAATTTATCTAAGTATATTTTAAAAAATTAAGAATGTAGAATATTTATTTGTAGAAGATAAAAAATTCAGTACTTCTAACTTCCTTCAGCATATTCTTTACCTTCTTCCTCAAACTTATTTAATCTGAATATTTTCCAAAATTAATAGCAACTTAAAAATTTAAAATTAAAAATAATTTTTAATTTCAGAAAAATTAAGGATTTGTAAATGCAAAGAAATCCCAACATTAGAATGATATGTAATTTACACTAGGTAAAATGGGCAGTAAGTTTTCTCCAACTAGTGGCTCAAAAGTTTATACCACTTAGTTTCCATTTCACTGCTCATTCATTTTAATCTTTATCTCCTTATTCTTGAGTTATTTTTCAATGTATCCCTCAAATATCTGAAATGTATTAACTGGGTAGCATATCTGTCAAGACATTAAAGGTCAGAATTTACCTTTGCATATAAATAAAAACTTGCTTGGATATAAAATAAGAGGTTCATAACCTCTTCTCTGAATTGTACAAGACACAATATCCTGTGCTCTGTAATATATTTTTGCAAAAATCGAAGCTTACATAATTTCCTTTGTTGTCTTTTTTCTTCTCCCTGAAAGTTGATTGGGTTCTTGTCTTTGGCTTTGAACACAAACACTAGGCCTTATTATTTGCCTGTTTAATTTTGTATGTGACAGGACCTCAATTTGCAATATTATGCTATTTTTTATTCAGATTCATAAATTTTCTTTCTTTAATCATAATATTTGATTTGTCTGCTCTATTTATTCATGAAATAGATCTCTGTGAGCTGACCCCAGTGGTTCAGAGCTCAGTATATCCTTTATATTTTCAGTGAGATTAATATTGCACCAAATGGCTTTGTTAGACCAAAATGTGCTCTTGACTCACAACAAAGATTTCCTTTTGACTGCTGTGATTTTTAGGCCATTATTTTCTTCTTATCATGGTCTTTTGTATACAAACTAAATAATAATTAAATTCAACACACCATATTGTTTTCAAATGAGACTAATATTTGAAATTGCACAATTATTAGATTATAAAGATTCAAACATGACTCTGATGGATCATTCAACATCATCCATAGGAAATAAACATTTTCTTGGAATACCCTTCAATCTGACAGTTATGCAGCTACCTAAATCTGAAGACCCAGCCTAATTCTCCTTACAGAGAGAGAAAATATCCTGTTCTCAACTCACTAGTACTTGTTTCTTTAAATATATCTGAAGAAAAGCTATTTACCCTTCTATCAACAAAATGAATGCAAATTGGTGAATTTTAAATACCCAGAACTGAGGTCACTGAATCAATGAAGAATTTTCCAAACCAAATACTTAATATTTAGATTAAAAGTTAAAACACACACATTAATTACAGTGAATATAATCTAAAAATAATATAAAAGTGCAACTTTGAGAGCCAAAAATAAAGCTAAACTCTAATTCTGGCTCAGAGTTTTATGAAAAACACATTTCACCCAGTTTGAAAAGTCTCTACACATTACACTACAATACTTACAAGCTGAAGTTCTAATAGTTGGATCTTTTCATCTTTTTTCTTTATTTCCTCTTTAAGTTGTTTTATTTCATTTAATAAATCTTCAGTCTGAAATATTAAAACATTTTTAGATGAGGTATTTAAAATACCATAATGAGAAGCATGAAATCAATGATGAAGACACAGTAATGAATGAACCATCTGGTCATTTAGGGGGGAAATCCTCTTTTTAAAAAAAACACAAGATTTCATCCAATAATGAAGTCTGACATGTTGACAATGAGCAACAGTAGCAGCAACAGTTAGCATTTATTGAGCACTTATTAGATGTTAAAAACTAAGCACTTTCAGGTATTTAAGCATTTGATTCTACCCACACTCCTGAGGTAGGTGCTGTAATCCCTTTTTTACATATAAGAAAACTGGGACATAGGTCACAGAGTTAAAAAAAAAAAAAATCGCATACAAAAAAGCAACTTTAGCTAGACTTCAAGAGATACATAAAACTAGCCTGTGAAAGAAAACAAAGGGCATGAGAAGCAGAGGCAACAGAATAATTAAAGGCACAGAGGCATTTCATGGCTGGTTTAGAAATCAGCAAAAAAGATAAATGTGCCTGAAGGATAACAAGGAAGATTCTTTGTCCATGAGCTACTTTTTGAGGAGTACCTCCTGAATCAAAGAGAGAACATCTTGTCAATTGGATCTATGAGAAATGCCTAATACTATTAAATGGAAACCTACTGTCAAGTTAAGCAGGAATTCAGTTACATTTCCAAAGTGTTAATCATTACTCTATAGTTAGTCCATGTTGTTTGTGTATCATTATTCAGTTATCCAAAAGAGAAAGTAATATAAGCAAGGAAATTCAAATATAGATGTGAATAATATCTTTCCAGAGAGAAAAACAAGTAAGCAAATAATTAGACTGTGTTACAACAAGCAAAGAATGTCATCCCCTTTAGATACATCGGGAACAAAAACATATATTCTCTTTAACAAAGAGATCAGAAATAGACATTTTACAAAGGTTTGATCATATCACATAAGCATCCCAAACAATGTGGAAGATTTTTAAAATGCTATTATGTATACTATAATTGAAAAAGACTTTATTACATACAAAAAATAATCTTCACTTGAATTTTAAGTTTAGGAATTATAAAAATTCATAAAGATAAAAAAGATGTATTGCAGATCATGAAAGACACATTTCTAAGAATACATTTAGAAGGACACATTTCTAAGTTATGTAGCAAATACAGCTATTCAAAAGAAATTATTTATATTTAATTATATAACATTTTAAAGCATCTTAACAATTAACATTGGTTAAAAGCTATTGAAAAATCCATGCAAATATGACAGAGGATTTATATCTCAAGTATATTAAGAGCCTGTCCAAACATTTAAGATCATTTTTAGGTCTCAACAGACACATAGTCAGTTCTCACAAATACACATATAAATGGTAAAATGTTGTATTTAACTTGTTGAATAAAGTATCGTTTTATAAATATTAAGTTAGTGGTGAAATACCCAATGTAATTAACCAGACTGCAGAAAAAATGGCACATCATTAGACACAGCAGTTAACCTTTTTGGACAAAGCTGTATTTTTAAGAGCCATCAAAATACCTGCGCTCTGATTCAGTTATCCCATTCCTAGGAATCTATGTGAAAGAATTGATCCTAAGTAAGAGAAAACCTGTAACAAGGTGTTAGCTGAAAGTTAACAAGTTTACAATTGTCCTATAGGAGGATAACTGGAATAAAATGTAGCAACTTGATGGAACACTATACAGCCATCATTCATGCAGTCACCAGTAGGTTCTGACAGTGTTACACAAGAAATGGACCCAAAAATGAAACCAACAAACAATGTGCTAAGAACATTAATAGCCAGCATGTATATAGCACTTGCTATATGGCAGGCACTGCTCTAAGGAATTTTTTTTCCCACCAAAACCATTTCGTTGTTTTAATTTTATTTTTAATTGACATAACACTGTACATATTCATGGTTTACAAAGTAATGTTTTGATATATATAATGTATAGTGATTAGATAGGGCCAATTAGCATTTCCACCATCTCAAACATTGATCATCTCTTTGCATTGGGAACACTGATTTTATACATAAAGATAGGCAAAGAAGTGACATCACACATTAGGAATGAGGGACTACAGTGGAGTTCCAAAGGATAAGCACAAGATTCAGAAGACAGAGGAGTGTGGTAGGCTTGAAATTTTAGTTAAAGGATTCTAAGTGTCACACAATAATACAAAGGTGAGGGCAAGCATAGCACATCTGGAGAATCATAAGCAGTGTCGCTGTTGCACTTAGGCTCTGATGAATGGTGAGGAGCAACTGGCTAGTAAACTAGGCAAGGGCCAGATCACAGACAGCCATGACTATCACGCATGGCCTTAGCTAGGTAGTGACAGATTTGCATTTGAGATGGCTTTGACAGGTGTTTAGAGGACAAATTTTAACAACAGCAACAAAACTGAGCTAGGCACTTATGAAAATATTATAATAATCCAAATAAGAGTAGACGCCTGACCCAACAGAGTGATCATACAGATGAAAAAGGAGAGAAGAAATTAAAATTTTGAGATTTTGGCAATTCACTGCATGTGAGAAAAGAACAGAGGAGCATTCAAGGGTGACACTGTATTTCTAGCTTGAGTGACATGGTGAATAGCTGTGCCAACAAAAGAAATGGCGAATACGGAAGAACAACAAGTATGTCCAAAGAGGAATATGTGTGAGCTTTAAATATATTGTTAGATGGGTGGGTTGGGGGTAGGAGGGAGGTGGGGGCATGGCGGAGTCAGAAGAGATCTTGAGGTTTCTTCAGTTCAGTACATCAAAGCACTATATGTTGGGGTACTGGCTTCTGAGCTCAACAGTCATCAATTTTTTCATTAAATAAATAAAATGTTTAAGACATCTCACATACAAATACACACACACACATATATGGGGGGGGGTGAGAGAGAGAGAGAGACTGTGTTAGAGGTACTTATGGGTGGGACACACAATAGAAGTGTGTCCAGTGGGCAACTGGCTTACCAAGCATGAAAGAGAGGCGTTTTACATGTTATCCATATGTGTCATATTTGAAATTATGAGAGTAAGAAGTTCAAAGAGGACTGGACTAAAGATATAAATTTAACATTTAAAGAAGAGGAGAAAACTACAGGAAAAAATGTTGAAAGGTATGAGGGATTCCAGAGAGAAGTGACACAAAAGCCAAAGGAGAAAGTTTTTAAAACAAAGGTCATGTCAAACGTCTACAGCATTGAAATGGTAGATATTTTCATTGTTCCAAGTTTTCACACTAACTGGAAAGGAGTTTAAAGGGAGTCAAGGAAAAGTGTATTTGATTTACTGAAATTAAGTGAAATATACACATTTACAAATGAATAATGACAAGAAAGTAAAGGAATCACACTCAAGACAGATGAGAGAGGAGGAAGAGATGCAGTTAGGTCATTAAGCAGCAGCGGAAGACAAGAGTTAAGAACACAGAAGAAGAGCTGATATTACATAGCACAGTGGGCATTTTTATCCTGTAACTGGAACAAAGGAGTAAGAATGAGACAAATATAGGTAAGTTAGAAGGCAAGATGGAGGCCGGGCACAGTGGCTCACGCCTGTAATCCCAGCACTTTGGAGGCCAAGGCAGGCAGATCACCAGGTCAGGAGATTGAGACCATCCTGACTAACATGGTGAAACCCTGTCTCTACTAAAAATACAAAAAAAAAAAAAAATTAGCCAAGCATGGCGGCGTGCACCTGTAGTCACAGCCACTCGGGAGGCTGAGGCAGGAGAATGGCATGAACCCGGGAGGTGGAGCTTGCAGTGAACCCAGATCACGCCGCTGCGCTCCAGCCTGGGCGACAGAGTGAGACTCCGTCTCAAAAAAAAAAAAAAAAAAAAAAGACAAGCAGGCAGGAAGCATAAGATATTTACTGGATGAACAAACATAAGGCTACCTGCAGAGGTTGAGATAGCTGAGCATGGAGCTTCATAGGGCTATTTGAAGGAGCTCATTAAGGGAATGGGAGAGGGATCTGTCCTGAGATATATAAAAGGACAGATTAGAGGCATGGTAAGTCCAATGGAGACTTTAGATCCAAAAATTTTAATGGCACAAGATGCAGTATTTGTGTCATTTGAAACTGCACTGCTAAATCATTTTGGATGAAAGGTGACATAGTTGGGGATTTGCTGATAAGAATGCAAAAGAGACCAGAATACTGAAGAAAAGAGACAGTATGACCTGTTGCATCTCAGCTTAAATAAGAAAGACTAGGAATAATCTGCCTGGAAGGAAATGGAGCAGGTACAAGAAATAAATACTGTGTAACAAAATGTCTATCATATAACATTAAATATTTAGATGAACTAGACAGGAACACTGAAAAAAAGTAAATATACCAATTGTGTAAAAATGTTGGAATTAAATTTTTTTCTTTAAAACATAATTTCTTGTTTGGGTGTGGCGGCTCATGCCTATAATCCCAACACTTTGGGAGGCCGAGGTGGGTGGATTACCTGAGGTCAGGAGTTTGAGACCAGCCTGGACAACATGGTGAAACCCCATCTCTACTAAAAATACAAAAAATTAGCTGAGCATGGTGGCAGATGCCTGGAATCCCAGCTACTTGGGAAACTGAGGCAGTAGAATCACTTGAACCCGGGAGGCCGAGGTTGCAGTGAGCCAAGATCACGTCACTAGGCCGGGCGCGGTGGCTCAAGCCTGTAATCCCAGCACTTTGGGAGGCCGAAACGGGCGGATCATGAGGTCAGGAGATCGAGACCATCCTGGCCTAACATGGTGAATAACCGTCTCTACTAAAAAAATACAAAAAACTAAACGCGGCGAAGTGCGGCCGGCACCGTGTAAGTCCAGCTACTCGGAGAGGCTGAGGCAGCGAGAATGGCGTGACACCGGCGAGGCGGAGCTTGCAGTGAGGCGACGATCCCGCCACTGCCCACTCCACCGGGTGAACAGACGAGACTTTCATCTTCCAAAAAAAAAAAAAAAAAGATCATGTCACTGCATTCCAGCCTGGGTGGCAGAGCAAGACTTCATCTAAAAAAATAATAATAAAATAAAATAAAAAATAAAATCTTTATATGTAAAAAACTTTTTCACACATACACACAAAATTCAGGAAAGAGGTCAACTTTGCTTTTAAAATGTCAGTGACAAATTCACAATTTTTTTTTCTAAACTGGGAGGTAATCAGAGATTACCTAAGTCAACGGTTCTCAACTGAGTGTTGAAAAAGAGATGGCCTGCTGTGAATCTGCGGACTTAATGTATTATACTGAGAGCAGGATGAAAGCTCGGGGTTGGGAAGTAATTTGGGCAAGGACAGGTAGTCAACAAGTTGAAAAGCCAAGATGAGAGAACAAGATTGACTACTGTACTATACTCTTATGATTTTGATTGCTTTACATATAATCTTCTTCCCAATAAATCACTCTGCAACCTATGAGAAAATAATGCTTTTCTGTCCCACTAATTCCAGGCCTGGCCCCTTGAATTGTTTTGAAAGTGGTATGTGCCACATCCAAGCAGAATTCACATGTGATCCTATCAAAGTTCTCTTCTCATAAGCATAATAACATCTCCCACAATAGGGACTGATCCTTCAGTATGGATCCCAGAATGAAGAAGACACATGAAGCAGAGTCCCAGCTGATCTACAGCCAATATGTAAGTGAAATGTAAATTTCATTATTATAAGCCACCATTACTTTCAGGTTGTTACTGCAGATGACTAGCAAACACTAATAAGTATACTCTGAAAATGGGATGTAAAAGCTAACTATAACTTGACTTGAAAACATTAAGTTAACCAAGAATCTCTGTGTGTGCTTAAGAAATAAATATGTACTTAAATAGTTGCAAATAGTTGCAAAATAAAAGAGCTTTCTTCAACTAAACATAGACATAAAGATAGTAAGACTTATAAAAAAACACTTTCACAAAAATACATCTGTATTCTGTATTTTTAAACATGAAAAAAGATAAATTAATCTCATTTTTGGTATATTTCTTCAATTTTAGGATTTATATATGAGAAGTACCTATAACCATTTTAACTTTTATTCATACTCATATTTTAAAAACTCATTTATCATTATGAGCAATATATTTTCTTTTAAAATCCTGCAACAGTAGTAATAAAGGGACAAATCATTATCCGACTGATAAATTCAAATTAAAGCACCACAGAGATATCATTTCAACTAAACAATGCAGCAAAAGTTAAGAACAAACCTGATGCTGTAGGTATTAATACATTTATTATTGTTTTCATTGTCACGGTATCATTATTTTAGTATTAAAAAAGAATTTTGAAAAATCCAGCATGACTACATAGTCATACCTTATATACTTTATCACCATCTTCTGGTTCCGGACTGGACGGCAATGATAGTTGAATATCATGCAATGAACCACTTCCATCATGCTGTCAGAAAGAAGGGAAGAAAAACACTCGATTAATATAGTAATTGTGGACATTCAGTTCAACCTGAATTTGCCCAGACCAAATGCTAGCATGGTGAAGAACAAATGGGAGATAAAATTTTAGAAATCTTCTTTTCCCCTATATATACTGGTAGAAGGAAATGTGGAAGAAGAAAAAAGGGAGCTACGGCAAGAATAATCTGTGGAAGTAAATAACGGATACTATATAAGCAGTTGAAATAGAGAACCATTAAACACAAGAGAAATTTCCTAAAAAATTTTAAGACTGTTTCACCTAAGAAAAATGTAAAACAAAAGTCAACTGAATCTGTTTTGGTTTAGACATGTTTTGAGTACTAGGAGCCATAAACAATAATATTAAATAACTCAATAAGGCTTAGCAGCAAAAATAACTGAATTAAAAATACTAGCTACATGAGGATATATATCTCATAACTCCATTTATATGAAGTCTGAGAAAAGGCAAAACTATGGTGTTAGAAATCAGAAGAATGATGGTAGACTAAAGGGAAGGGGGTTACTGACTAAGAAGGAATATTAGGGAACCTAGTAGGAAGCTGGAAATGTTCTATGTCCTGAGTGTATGGTAGTTAAACATACATATGAAAAGCTTGTGCTGTACACTTAAGATTGGTACACTTTAACCACTTTACTGGATGTATATCATGCCTCAAAAAAAGGTTGAAATAAAGATTTTTGTTCTAAAACATTATAAAGAAAATAAGATGACAATATTAAGTTCCACCGTTTGCTGAAGTGGTTTAGTAATAAGAAACCACATGCTCAATGGTTCAGAAAGACAGCCTCAAGAAAAATGAACCAGTGAAGAATACAACTGGATGATGTGCTACCTTGATCAGGGCTGAGCCCCTGACCAAGGCAGTACAACTGAGGTTCAACACCTTATTTGTTCATATGACTCTTGGCTGCCTCAGTAAACCCAGTGACTGAATAGTAACCTTCAAGGAACATAACATCGCAATCTTCCTCAGATATATCTTTTCTGGTTCTTCCATGCCATGAAAAATGTCTACAACAGGGGAGGTGAGCATGTAGGTTATTTTCTTCTTAACTTATTGTACTGTATACGCACTGACACAGAATCTCTAGGGAGGGGCCCAGAATTTCTAAATGTGTATTTAGGGAAGTTCAAAAGGTAATGCTGATTGACAGTCAAGAGTAAGTGTTTGTCAAATTTCCAGGACAGATAAATTACTTTTCTATGGTGGTGTCAAATGGACATTAAGACTTTGATCTAAGAACATAGGCAACATTCTAATGAATAGCAATATTCTCAGAACACGTTTTTTAAAATTAAGAAATAAAGAAAGTAAAGTTAGTTTTACAGGACTCATCTCAGTAAAAAGTTCATCTTTGTTATTACTGCCTAGACATATAAAAGCATGGCCAGTCCTACCTACAAGTATATTTGAGAAGACAGAGAAACTATAAAATTTGAATTATTTCCAAATATCTAAATGTCTTCTTCCCAACTGCAATGCAGGAACCCCAAGGAATGTGAGACAACATAAGCACATACTGCTTTGCATTAGATGCAGGTGCACTTGTGGGAAGTGTACAGCAGAATAGAAAAAAATAAAACAACAGCATTTAGGATAGAGGAAAAAAGAGAAGTCATACAAAACAGAAAATACCAGGGAGGTCACAAAATACCAGGAACTGAGTAAAGTAACTCCATAAAGCTGTTTGTAAATTAATCAGTTCATCCCTGAGCAGCACTTGCTTAGATCTGATCCTAAACAGTACACAGCAAAGACTTTGAAAAACAACCTAAGATCACTTCCCAGATCCCAGACTAGCCTCTGGTAGATCTATACTCAGAACAGATCTGGAAAGCATGGCAAAAGCTTTGAAAACAGAGCTGGCATTAAAACCACAATCAAGACAGCTAGCTGTACCTTGTAGCCTAAACTCAACCACATTGTTTGCCTGTTTAAAAACAAAATAAAGATTTAAAGAAGATCAGGAATCTCATTATACAATGTTCAAATATCTAATATATAACCCAAAATGACTCAACATCTAAACAAAGGAGAAAATGTCAACTCACAAAGGAAAAGACAATCAAAAAACGCCAACACCAAAAGACACAGAAGTTAGAATTGGAAGATATTTTAACAGAGCTGTTACTAAAATTCTCCAAAAGAGTGAACTCTTGAAGGGACTACAAAGAGGAAATCTCAGGAAAAAAAACAAAAAAACAACAGAATATAAAAAGTAGAAACAAACAGAAATTTTAGACCTGAAAAGAGTCAAAAACCAAAATTTTAAAATGCACTATTGATGGGCTAAATACTACCATTTCAAATTACACAATAAACTTAAAGAGTGATCAACAAAAATTATCCAATCTGAATGATGAAGAGAAACAAGATTGGTCAAAAAAAATTCACAGAGCCTGCTAAGGAACATATGGGAACAATAACAAAAGAGGTAACGTTTCTGTCACTGAAGTCACGGAAGCATAGGGGTGGGCAGAAAAAAATATTTCAAGAAATAATGGATAAACACACCACAAATTTGGTGAAAGACACAAACCTACAGATTTGAGAAGCCAAATTTAAAAGAACAAAAAATACACCAAACACATGCTCTCTGAATATAAGAGAATTTAAGTAGAAACTAATAACAGAAAGATAATCTCCATACACTTGAAAAGTAGACAACCTTCTAAATCATCCTTGGGTCAAAGAAGAAGTCTCAAGAAAAACAAGAAAATATTGTGAATTGAAGGAAAATAACAGACACAACATAGAGAAATGAAAACACAGGCTCACATGAAAATCTGTAAGCAAATGTTTACAGCAGCTTTATTGGTAACTGCAAAAAAATTAGAAAGCAACATAAATACCCTTCAGCTGGCAAATGAATAAGCAAACTGGTAGCATTAAAATAGAACACTAACTGCAATATACAGAAACAAATTACTAATACATGGTACAGCATAAATGAATTTTTCAAGTTGCATTATGTTAAGTAAAAAAAGCCAGACTCAAAGGCTATATATTATACTCAAAAGGCTATATCATATCCATTTATATGACAACCTTTTCATATCAGTGGTTGCCAGGAGCTAGCAGTGGGTGTAGAAATTGACTTTAAAAGAAAATAAGGAATTCTGGGAGGTGACTGTAATAGCTGCACAACTGTCTGTTAAAGCTCATAAAACTGTACACTGAATTCATGCAGGTAGTGGTCTGGGCTTGATTTGAGGGTTCAGCATGGCATTTCCTGTTCTCTCCCCGTGTGGCTGCAGCTCGGGCCTTTGGTTTGACCCAGCCCGACTTAGGCTTTGGAAGAGCTACAGAAAATCTCTAGAAGCAGCAAAGATGTTGCTGGAGAAGGATACTAGGAAAAGAGTACAGGATGCCCTTACAGGTGAAAAATCCAAAATTGAGACAGAAATCCAGAACAAGATGCAACAGAAATCATAGAAGAAAGCAGAACTTCTTGATAATGAAAAGCCAGCTGCTGTAGTTGATCCTGTTACAACGGGACATACAGTGAAAACCAGTAATTATGGATGGGATCAGTCAGATAAGTCTGTGAAAATCCACATTACCTTAACTGGAGTTCATCAAGTTCCCACTGAGAATGTGCAGGTGCATTTCACAGCGAGGTCATTTGATCTTTTGGTAAAGAATCTAAGTGGGAAGAGTTACTCTATGATTGTGAACAATCTCCTGAAATCGATTTCTGTGGAAGGTAGTTCAAAAAAAGTCAAGACTGATACAGTTCTCATTTTATGCAGAAAGAAAGTGGAAAAGGCTGGGTGTGGTGGTTCACGCCTGTAATCCCAGCACTTTGGGAGGCTGAGGCAGGCGGATCACCTGAGGTCAGGAGTTTGAGACCAGCCAGGCCAACATGGCAAAACCTCGTCTCTACTAAAAGTACAAAAATTAGCCGTATGTGATGGCAGGCACCTATAATCCCAGCTACTTGGGAGGCTGAGGCAGGAGAATCACTTGAACCCTGGAGGTGGAGGTTGCAGTGAGCCAAGATTGCACCACTGCGCCCCAACCTAGGTGACAGAGTAAAACTCTCAAAAAATAAAAATAAAAATAAAAAAAGAAGAGAAAGAAAGTGGAAAACACAATGTGGGAGGGATTACCTGGCTCAGGTTGAAAAAGAGTGCTGTTCTTACACTGCTAATAAAGACATCTGAGACTGGGTAATTTATAAAGAAAAAGAGGTTTAATGGACTCACAGTTGCACGTGGCTGGGAAGCCTCATAATCACGGCGGAAGGAGAAGCACAGGCATGTCTTACATGGCGGCAGGCAAGACAGCATGTGCGGGGGAAATGCCCTTCATAAAATCATCAGATCTCATGAGACTTATTCACTATCATGAGAACAGCATGGGAAAAACCCTTTCCCCCGTGATTCAATTACCTCTCACCAGGTCCATCCCACAACACGTGGGGATTATGTGAAAAAAAAAAAAAAATCAATTACAAGGAGAAACCCTCCTATGACACTGAAACAGATGCTAGTGAGGGATTGATGAATATTCTAAAGAAAATATATGGAGAAGGAGATAATGATATGAAGCAAATCATTAATAAAGTCTGGGTGTAACCAAGAGAGAAGCACATCAAAGGAGACAGAATTTTGAGACTTAGAAGTCCTTCTGGGAACTGTATTGTGGAAATACAGATGTTGCCAAAAAGGAAATATTGGTGAGCTGCATATATAAATTTGACAGCTATTTACACAGCCTTCTTCTAAGTAAAGGCAATGAATTCTTCATTTCCTATGAGAGGATTTATTTAAATAAAATACGTGTATTAAACTGTCAAAAAAATCTGTACACCAAAAGGATGAATTTTACTGTATATATTACATCTCAATAGAAATGCATTAGCTTGAATGATGTCCCCCCTAGAAATTCATGCCCATCCATAACCTGTGAATATGACCTTACTTGAAAATAGGCCTTTACAATGTAATTAGAGAAG